AAGTAAATGCATTTTTCTTGGTTATGCACCAGGAAAGAAAGGATTTCAGCTTTATAATATGGACACTGGGGAATGTTTTATATCTAGAGATGTTGCTTTCTTTGATGACATTTTTCCATATGTGGGATCAGACATAAATGATGTTGTTATGCCAAAGGCAGTTGAAGAGGAAACATCACAGTTTGAGGTGACTACTGCACCAGATATAGAAAACAATAATGATGTGACAACACTGAGGAGAAGTGGGAGGACAAGGGAGGCACCAAGTTGGCACAGTGATTACATTTGTGGTAGTACATCAGCCTCACAGATGGATAAAAGTATGTTGCCATTGGAATTTTTCTCTCACAGTCATGGAGTGGATCATGGTGTCACTCAAAAGGAGTTTTCAGCTAATTTGTCAACTGAAAAGGAACCTGTTCATTATAAACAAGCAGTCCAACATCCTTTATGGGTAGAAGCCATGCAAAGGGAATTAGAGGCATTGGAGGCCAACCATACATGGGAGATCACTGAACTTCCTCCTGGTAAGAAAGCAATAGGAAGTAAATGGGTTTATAAAATTAAAAGAAAGGCAGATGGATCTATTGAAAGGTTTAAAGCCAGACTTGTGGCCAAGGGATACAATCAGATTGAAGGAATACACTATTTTGATATTTTCTCACCTGTGGCAAGACTGGTAACAGTGAGGTTCCTCATTGCTGTAGCAGTTCATAAAGGATGGCCTATCCACCAAGTGGATGTGAATAATGCTTTTCTTCATGGCACACTGTCTGAAGAAGTTTACATGCAGCCTCCTTTGGGATATGAGAAAGCAGGTAAAGGGAAAGTCTGCAGACTAATTAAGAGCCTTTATGGTCTCAAGCAGGCTTCCAGAGAATGGAACACTGAGCTATGCAACAAGCTATCCCAATATGGCCTCATACAATCCTCTTATGATCACTGTCTGTTTACAACCACCAAAGGTGTGGATTTCTTGGCATTGTTGGTATATGTTGATGATGTCTTAATCACAAGCTCCTCTCTCACTCTGATCAACAGTTTAAAGCAATTCCTTAATGATCAGTTCACTATCAAAGACCTAGGGGTTGCAAAATTTTTCTTGGGGATTGAGTTTGCTTACACCTCTGAAGGTGTGTCCTTGTGCCAAAGAAAGTACATTATGGACATACTTGCTGATATGAATATGCTGGATTGTACTTCATCACCCACACCATTACCTTTGGGTATCAAATTAGAAGCTCAAAGTGGAACTGCCATGCAAGAACCAGAAATGTTTAGGAGGCTCATAGGGAGGCTGTTATATCTTGGACTTACAAGGCCTGATGTCACTTATGCTGTTCAACAGCTCAGCCAGTTTGTTACAGCTCCTCATGACTCTCATTGGCATGCAAGTTTACACATCTTAAGATATTTGAAAGGGTGTCCAAGCTTGGGTTTATTCTATTCTTCTCAATCAGCTTCTTTCTCTCTTGTTGCATATTGTGATGCTGATTGGGCCACTTGCAAAGACACTAGAAGATCAATCACAGGGTTCTGCATTTTCCTTGGTGATTCTCTTATTTCGTGGAAAAGTAAAAAGCAGCATACCGTCTCTAAGTCTTCAGCAGAAGCAGAATATCGAGCTATGGGGTCCACTGTTTCTGAGTTGATGTGGTTGCATTATTTGGCTCAAGAGTTCCAGATTTCAGTCGTTTTTCCTATTCCTCTTTGGTGTGATAACCGGGCTGCCATGCACATCACCGCAAATCCTGTTTTCCACGAAAGAACCAAGCACTTGGAGATTGATTGCCACATTGTGAGGGATAAGTTCAAGCAGGGTTTCATCTACCCCATGTATGTTGCTTCTGTACATCAATTAGCTGATCTTTTCACCAAGATTGTTACTGGACATCGGTTTGCTGCTCTTGTGTCCAAGTTGGGCATGACCACGATTCCCCCAGGCCCAACTTGAGGGGCGGGTGTTGAAGATCAATGGAGCAGCTCTACCTTTCTATCTTCATGTTCTTATTTTCTGTTATTTCCCGCTTTTTTTGTTCAAGTGTTGAACGGCGTCGTTTGGTGTTATACGACGCCGTTTTATTTCTTTCGCTTTGTTTTTTATTTTAGTTTGGAACGACGTTGTTTAGGTTACTTAACACGACGTCGTTTAGGTTGTCGTTTTGCATGAATATGGCAGCTATATAAGCTGAGACCTGTACGTACATTTTCACTTGATTTTCGATTTTGAGTAAGAAGAGAAAATCCCAAAATTTGTGTTCTGTTTTTGTGGGAAAAAGGTGATTTTACAAAATTCAATCATCCACCTTCCATGTAAGACAACTAAACTAAATTATTTAGTTAAAATTTTCAAACATAATGACGTCAATAAATGACTATATGTAGAATATTAAAAATACAATTATAATGCACGTCAGCGAGTGCAGTCTTTTATGCATTAGAGTGGGTTAATGACTAGTATGTAGCATTAGCAGGTCATTTAATCTTTAGAGCATGTTGGGCCGACGGGCCTGCCAAAACCCATCATTTTGTCAGGGTGGGGCGAGCCT